AAGGTTACGCTAAAGCAACGGCTCGACAGTTATAAAGAAAAATAGGTTGATAAGTTGCCAAAGGTCTTATAGGTATACAAGACGACCAGTAGAACTACCACAAGGGAAACTCCTTTCTCAATGGCCTACGAGATTAAAGCGGTCCTTCCGGTCAGATATTCGTTCCTACCAGCCGAGTGACACGGTATGAAGAGGATAAGAACACCGAACGAATGAGCTTAGAGCTCAACCTATTGGAAGAAAGGCACACAGACATGCAGTTAAGACTCACTGCGTATCACGCCAGGATTGCTAGATATTACAACCAAAAGGTCAAGCAAAAACGATTCAGAGTAGGAAATCTTGTCCTGTGAGTAGTAACTCTAAACACTAAGCCCAAGAACTCTAGCGCCCTAGGACCAACTTAGGAAGGTCCTTACATAATAAAGTAGGTCGTAGCCAATGGGTCTTATCGACTCACAGAACTAAACGGTCAAAACATCAAGCACACATGGAATGCAGACCAACTGAAGACCTACTACCAATAAAGGGGAGAAAGGTCGACCTAAAAGCTAGATTTAGTATTTTTCTTATGTTCTGTTTTCCTTTTTACTTTTTTACAGGTTGAAAAGTCGACTTGCAAATCTACATAAATAAAAGACCGATTTAATTATCTACTCATTTTATTTGTGTAAAATAATACACGACCAATTACTACATCGCGCTTGACTTGATTTTACATATTTAAAGATCTACGATTCTGCTCACATGATTATCTACAGCGACCAATGTTGCGTCAAAGACAAGCCTTGGCTTAACCATAGACCTCATCAGGGACAATTGAAGGTCCTCAAACTCAACGGAGGCTTTGTAAGCCTCAAGCCTCTGAGTGAGAAGGCCCTCAAAAGCAGCCGAGGATTTGAACAACTCCACCTATTGGTCGACTAAGTTCTTGAACTCATGGGAGGACTTAAAAGTCTCCAATTGAGCATTGATCAATCGGCAGAACTCCTCAGAAGCCATAAATTCCACAACCGCTTCCCTCTTATTCTACTGGAAGTTGGGAAAGGAAAGATATGCCTCGACAAGGAAAGATATGACTCCTCAGAGGAAAGATATCCGTGGAGAGTTCGGTCTGAGCGGCGTGGAGAGCTATAAGCTCCTCCTCAGTAGCCTTAGACGAGGTGTCATGCTTCAGCAGAGTCTCGAGCTCTATATAATTTTAGAGTGTAACCTCGAGAGCTTGGACAACAAAAAAATGGGGCATGTTAAGGCATAAGGTCCAGATACTTAAAAGTAAAGGTCGAGGAGTAAGTAGGTAAAACATACCGAGATTTGGCGCATCACACCTATGCGATGGCGCTCCATAAGGTCCATCCCAGCAAACTTATTCCAGGAGTCCTGATGGAAGTGAGTGTAGATGGCCTGGATGGGAAGGCTGAAACGAGGAGGGAGTCAGAGAGCCTCATTGAAGTGGTGGTTGATCACATCGGACTCCTGAAATTAGGGGTCATTAGTCCTCGACCCCGGCATCACAAGGGGATCCTCAGGCGCGGGGAACCTCCAGGTTAGCGGCTACCTCGATGCCTTTTCCCTTGTCCAGGTGCCGAGAGTTCTGAGATGACCCTTCGACCGCTGAAGGGTCTTAGCGCTCGTCTACCCTCTGTCTCTTTGAGGGGGGAGTTATGACAATTCTCGACCAGTCGAGAACTTCAGGGACATCACGGGCAGGGGTAGCTTGAGTCATCGGCTGACCCGATGACTTGGAGGAGGCCTCTCATTTATTCTTCTTTGACTTGCTTGGGAGAGTGTACCTCATAGTAGATGGCACGACTGCGAAATAAAAAAGGAATAAGATCCTAAATAGGTCGACTATAACAAATCAAATTACACTTTCAGGTTACCTTAGAGGAGATCTGCAGGAGGGACAACTGGTTGGCGTGGAGGGTCAAGAGTGACAATCAGACCGTACAATCGGCGGTTCCCTGGTGTATTAAGGGTAGTAGAGCTACGGCTGGAGTCGGAGAGAGAAAGAATTTGCTCGACCCGCGCTAGAGTAATCGAAGAAAGCTTCGGTCAAGAAGGAATTTCTCCTGCATTCAAGAGCAAAATATGAAAGATAGCTCGACGAACGGAAAAGATTCTATAAAAATCCAACAAAGCGAAGACCTATAATATTTGCTAAGTACTGTTTGAGTTCCCAAGGGACGCTCACCGTCGAGCAGGTGGGAGTTGAAGTTGCCACTAAGGAAAAAGAATTAGAGCTTCCATCCATGGCAACTGGAAGTCTTCTCGATAACGATAGGGGGACTAGAGGTTTGGATTTAGAGTGTGAGCATAAATAAAGGAATCCCCTCTGACCTAGTACAAAAACTCCTCAACGGTTATGTCGATGTTCAAAAATTTCCTCCACCAAATAATCATGGAGTTTATTGTCACCTAACAATTGGGTAACAACTTTACCGGAGAAATCCTATGGAGGCCACAGAGGGCCTTCACGAATGGGTGAAAGGGAACAATTTGTCCAAAGCTAAGGGATCTGATATATACAGTCATATGGTTGGCAGGGGGTTATGAGCTCTATCGTTAGGGGTAGGTACAATTAAGTAAAAGTTATTAGTGTCGATCCCCGCATTGTGAAACGCTCTCATGGAAACCCGGGGCTTTATTTTTGACGGGTTGACATCAGTCACCATGCCCGAGATACCACTCGTCGATGCCACCCAATAGCCACGACCTTCAGGGGTGCCGACTCGTAAACCATCGTCCTCATCGTCGAGGAGAATGAGCTCGTCTGGCCGAAAGGTCGAGACTGACCCCTCGGCGTATTCCTCTACTTGGCGGAGCAGAGAATCCCCATTGTCGATCGATACCGTGCTTGACGTCACAGCTTCCTCAAGGTCATCCCTGACCCTGGATGTGGAGAGCTCTCGAGCTCTAACCTATTTTGGTGACATGTTCTGGAAATAAATAAAATGGGGTTAAGTTAGGGCCTAATGGTCGACAGGTCAGAAATAGAGTTTGAGAAGAAATAAAAGTATTCTTTAATCAAAATGTCGCAAGAGCATGGGACTGACACTGCTAGATTCACATAAACCCAGAAATGGGGAGAAACTCGTATAAGGGTCTCTAAAACTTAGAAATAAGTCTGAAAACCCCCAACAAGAGCGACTAAACCCAAGTGGGTACTAACACAGGGACTCAGCCCAGATTCACAAGCACCAACATTGTTCGAGTAAGCTCATTTTTATAACTATATTATCCTCTTCAAAATGTTATTTTTTGCAAGAATTAGTTTCAAAATCACATACAAAGACTAAAGGGCCAAAACAGCTTACTAGTTCTTGAGATGGTTTGAAAACTTGAAGATGGAGGAGAACAATGTACGGAGAACGTGAACGGAGGTCGAAATCAGAGAAAGGAAGGTTATAGAGAAAATCCGGCAGAGTAACGGCGTGGTTTGTAAATGAACGACCGTGAACTATTCCAGGGGTATATATACTCAAAGAATGGAAGCCCAGAAGTCTCAGGGAAATCCAAAGGACTTCAGATCTTGACCGTTGAATCCGAACCGACCCCATCCAACGGTGAATCGAAGAAACGCGATCTAACGGCTGGGAAAAAAGCGGGAGAGATGAATCTAATCCAATGGTTGTAACTTTCCCCCCGACTGCCACGTGTCATTATGGTACGGGAGACGCGACTGTTGACATGATCTATAACAGGTCTATAAATAGAGTCCGCCTCCTCCATTAAGTTTTTTACGCACTATTTTACTATAAGAAAGATTGTAATTGATAATATACTAGTGCATCCATAAGTGGACGTAGACAAAGAATTCTTGCCGAACCACTATAAACTTCTGTGCTCTTTATTTTTCTACAAAGAATTTTCTTGATTAATCCGTGAGAGACGTCTGCGAGTGTTCCCGGAGAGAGTTAATTTTTAGTTGATTAAATTTCACCGTCAACAATGCATAAGATCAATGAGCCAAATAATACATGAACTTTCATTCAATGAGCCAAATAATACATGAACTTTCATTATCTTCAAGAAGCTTTGACACACAAGAATTCATTCGATGGAGTCATAATTCCAGCAGTAATTTTTCTCAGGCACTTTCTTAAGTTTGACACTTTTAGAAAGGTCATTCAAATCACTCAATGGAAAAAAGAAAATAGAAATAGCAGACATGTGAAACATGGAGTCCTTATGAAAAGGAGAGTATAGCGATGTGATCAAACATTAACATCAAGCCTAGAAACTTTGATCTTTCAAATTTCAATTTTAGTACATTAGTTAGCTTTGAAGTTTCGACTGCCAATTGGCTTGGACTTTTTTTTTTTTCCATTGAAATTTAGGCTCCATTTAGTTGGGGTGATAGAGAGAAAGAATGATGAAGAAAGTTAGAAGAGAAATACGAAGGATTGAGATGGTTATAGAAATTCTCATGTTGTTTAATGATCTAATTGAGGACTAAAATATAAAATGGGAACCTACTCCGACTATATATATATATATATATATATATATATGTATTCAGTAGTCAAGCCTCCCAACTTGTCAACTGAGAAATATGTTCACTAGCGTACTATGAAAAGAAAAAAAAAATGCTATTCACATGCCTTCAATTATTTAGGTGTTAAATTCTTGACAGAATTTGTATAAATTAAAAATTAAAAATGAAAATATTTAAAGTTTTGGGGCTAAAATAATAAAAAAATGAAAGTTGATTTTATAAATAATTTTTAAATTTTAGATGTTTTTAATTTTACTCTTTAGTTAATTTATAAAAATTATATTAAATATTTAATGCCTAATTAATAGAAGGACTGAAATTGTAAGAGAGAAATTTTAGAGATTAAATGTGAAATTTTTTAAAAATTAAGGATCAAATGAGATTGAGGATAAATTTTAGGATTAACCCTAATTTTTTTAAAAAGAAAAGAATAAACAACACTCTCATGACATGTTAGTACTGACAGGAGAAGTTTCCTTCCCTCACAATCATCCATCAATTCCGCCATTCCCAACATAATAACATCTTCATTTTCCTTCCCAGCTGCCGAATCCGCCCAACCAAATTAAACAAAACAAAAAAAGGCAGCCAAACCGCCATTCTCTGGAGCAGAGTGAGGTCTAAGGGATGAGTAGGAAGAGAGTTTTGGTGGTGGGAGGCACAGGCTACTTGGGCCAACATGTTTTGCAAGGCTTTTCCGACATTAAACGACACACCCAATTCGATCTGGCCTTCACCCATTTCTCCGTTCCTCCTCCTCAGGTTTTGCTTGATGCTCTTCCTCATTTGCTAGCTTTCAATGTTGATCTCAAAACAGGTCGGGGTTTTCAAGCCATTTCGGATTCATTTGGCCAGGTGGGTTCTCATGAATTACAAGAAAAAAGTTGTTCTTTATTATTATAATTTTTTATGTGGATTTCTAATTATGGAATATGTGGATTGCATTGGTTTTTCTATTATAATGCATTTGGAAGTTGAGAATTTTTCTAGTTTTTGTGCACTAGGTTGATGAAAGCTTATATGGTTTTGTGAACTGTATATGTGATATTTATATGGGTTTATTTAGTTTGTTATTTACTGTTGTTATTTTCCAACTTTTTTGGCGTTCAAATTCTAGCAAAGAATATGAGACCTTTGACTGTATTTGATACTTACAGTCATTCTCTTAAACTTGTTCTGTTGAGAGTAATTTATTTATATTTTTGTGAGTGTGGATCTATTGGTAATTTCATTTGAATTGCATATTGAGATGCAGCTAAGAATTCCATTCTATGAATTATCTTAGTCTCATGATGAAAAGATGATGAGGATAATCTTGATTAATGACTTGAACCAGTAACACCATTTGAGTTTGCAATGCCAGCCTGATATCGTGGTGAACTGTGCTGCGCTCTCTGTGCCTCGAGCCTGTGAGGTTGATCCTCCTGCTGCGATGTCTATTAACGTGCCGTCTTCTGTTGTAAAATGGTTGTCGAGTTTCAGAGTGAATAGCACCCTTTTGATCCATTTGTCAACTGACCAAGGTTAGTTATGCCGAGCTTTGTTGTTCTATATTGATTTCTATCTACTTATCTTTTTTTTTTTCTTTTTTTTTTTTTTGTTGGTCGAAAACCAAATGAAATGCAAAGGAAATGGAAAAGAAAGTAGGATAATTGCTTTAGCACAAATAAGCTTCTTCTTCAGCCACCAAGCAAGGTTCTTGGGGCGTTTTCAACTGACATATTATTTTCTCTTTCATTCTATTATACAGATATTCTCTCAATTAAACTGAGCTGCTTTCATGGCATATGCATTTTATAAGAGACTGTTATGAAGTCTAGAAATCTAAGAAAAAGATCACGCCTGTTATAAAGAGCTAGTGGTTTTAAAAGTGATCTGTTATGTAGTCTAGAATCGAGTCTTCTGCTTTCTCTTGTTGCTCCCTTTATTTAAGGTCCGAATGACCAAGATGAAGAAAGTAGTCATTTATTTCATAAGCACCAAATCCTGAAGCCTGACTAAGTTTCAGCATCTTTGAGCAATACAACCTGTTTATAATTTTTAATATTTTGTTATACTATCTTTTGGACTAATCGGTTTGAATGAATTGCTTTGGATGAAGCCATAAGATTTAACTTATATGCACATCCTCAAACGTGGCCTCCATTATGCTTTACTATTTTTCTTCATTTTTCAACAAGAACAAACACACAATCAGACTAAAGATCTTGTACTTCAAGCTTATGTTTGTGCGTAGATTGTGACCGCTCTGGTTTCTTATCAGTTTATGAGGGGGTGAAGTCCTTCTACAAGGAAGAAGATGTAGCTATTCCTGTTAATGTTTACGGGAAATCGAAAATTGCTGCAGAGAAGTTTATTTCTGAAAACTGCTCAAATTTCGCAATTTTGAGAAGCAGTATCATTTTTGGGCCACAGACAATCTCACCAGTTCCAAAATCTCTTCCGACAGGTATACATATTGAACTCATGTGTCTTTATATTGTGCTTTTGCAGCTATGTTTTTGTCGTTGTTTCTTGTTACCGAGTGAGCTGACATTGAAGACTAATGTGTCGAAATATAATTATCTGGTTAATGGATGAAACCAAATTTCAATTATGATATCCTATTTGTATCCTCCACATTCGGACTTGAAAAGATGAAATTAAGCTTACACGTTTGGATAGCTTGATAGTTGATAGGAGTGATCTAGTTTTTCGAGATTAGACTTTGGAGTACACAGTTACTTTATGGTGGACTTAAGATTTGGGTTCTCTACAATGGATGCAGTGGATGGACGGTGTCCTCTCCAAAGGAAATACTGTTGACTTTTTTCATGATGAGTTCCGATGCCCGGTGTATGTCAAGGACGTTGTTTCTACCATACTAGCTTTGTCAGAAAAACGGATATCAGGTATGTAATTTTCCAAAATTTATTATTCGACTACAATAATATTACATTGCCTGCTATTATGTGATAAAAGTGAGGCTGCCTATGAAGTCCCTTCCGCTAATCACGAGATGAGAATTATTTCTGCTCTACTTCAAGGAATGGTTTCCTGAGGATATTAATTGAAGAACAGGACAAATTGGACAAAGTTCAACCTTTCAATCTGGCTTTTATATTGTTCACGAGATTAGATGGGATTATTTTTCCTTTTGATGAGCATGTTTTCACCTTTTATCTTATTGTGCTTTGACTTGTGTATTGATGGGTTTTTGCTTTGTTGACATGCCTAAGATGGTAAGAAAATGCAGTTGCTACTAAACGTTGGCGGACCGGACAGGGTATCCCGTGTTCAAATGGCTGAGACGGTTGCAGATCTCAGAGGCTACAATAAATCTTTAATCAAATCAGTCTCTGCATCATCAGTAAGTATACCTTTTAAATTCCATTTAGATGGAATAAATAATTGATTTACATGTCTCTTGCATTTCAAATTTTCATTTTCTAAATTACAGCCTATACGCATCAAGTCATACCAAGATCACATCTCCCAATAATGCCCATCAAAAGAAGTTTTATTTTTCAGCCATGTGTTTTCCTACTTTGTCAACTAATTAAGGGCATGTTTACTAAACCGGAATGAAATATAATGAAAAAGTTATTTAGTTTGGAACGTAAAGGAATTAAATAAGAATGTATATCATTGATTTTCTTTTAGTGTTTACTTATTTATTAGAACGTGAATGGAAAAAATTTAACATTACCTTCCTAGTGTTTACTAAACTTATAATAGGAACTTATCAATGAATAATTAAAATGTCGTTTTTCTAAATTATATCTTTCATTATTCAAGGTATAAGTAAATTTGCCATTTGCTTTTATTAACCAAGAATCTATAGCGAGAGGATGCAAGGAGTGACCAAATTATTAGGTGCGTTTGGAACTCGTTCTAAAATGATTTTATTTTCTGTATGAAAATGAAAACGAAAACGTTTTCATTTTCATTTTGGAATCATTTCTAAAAATGCGTTTGGTACTTTTATTCCGAGATTGTTTTCAATTTAAAAAAACTAAAATTGTGTTTGGTGGTTTAATTTTTAAAAACATGTAATAATATTTAAAATAATAATATATTAAATAAATAATAATATATTAAATAAGTATATTAAATAAACATTATACACGTGAAAAC